TTAAAAATGAAAAATTCGTCTTGCCAATCTAGATCGCGATATGGAATCCCTTGAACAATTTTCATCCCAGACAAGGTGACATGAGAAAATGCCCAGTACTCTGGTTGTTTCTTCATCAAGCACACGTGTCGAAGTTTGGCAAGACCAAACATTAAGCCTTCCTTGCGAGCTCTGACCAAAAGAGCTAAAAGATGCCTCAAGAAATTAAGGCACATCTGGGTAAATGACAAACCTAACTCAGCCAAGATGGAAAGGATAAGCTCCAGAATCAGAAAAAAAAAAGAGCCCGCAAGACTCGAAGAAAGAGAGATATGCCCCCAATAGCCCTCACAAACAGTCTCGGGGGTTTCGAACGTAGCGGCAAGCTCAAGCACGAAGGCGCAACCGACAATGTGCTGATATACCATGGATTTTACTCACTTTTAGCCATGGTATATGATTTTTTTAAGATATATTTATTATGTTTTGGAGTATTTTTAGAGAATTTACAGGTTCATGTACGTTCTGGAGAAATATGGTGATTTTGGTGTCTTTTGGAGCCCTTTGAGTGCAGAACTGCACAGACGCATCAGATGTTTATCTATGGATGGAGACTTTCCCACCGTTAAATTGAGCCCATATTTTGACACAAGATATATCTTTGAGTTATATTTCCAATGCCACTGGTTTGAGGTCAATCAGCATCCTGTAGCAGAATTAATGCATGTTTTACTGAAGAGTAGTCAGTCTGTCTAGCGAGAGGAAGCTATCGAGAAGATAAACAAGAATCGATCGATGCAACGCTACTTGTGTCGATCGATGGATATCCCAGAACGCAAGAAGAGCATTTTTTACGACTGATTTTGGCCCAGGAGTTACCACAAATTATCAGAATACCTTTGAATGACCAGAAATCCTATTTATGTTAGTTGCAAGCCATTGTTGACAACAAAGCTCTTTTCTATTGTATTGTTCTTAGTTCTAGGAGAGAAGGGAGGAACTCCTTCAGAGTCCTCGTGGAACTCCTTTGATTCTTTGATTCTTTGTTTGGTTTTTATATTTTATATCTATTATATTATATTCATGAATTATGTGACAAACTTCATGCTAGAGTAGATCGACCTGTTATCTTTAGGGTTCAAATAGGTTAAAGGGGTTAGCCCCAACTATAGGATTGCTAGTTGTGGTATTCATTAATAGGATGTTCTTAACGCTCATGATTCCAGAGTAGCTAACTAGAAGCATTGAATATTGGATTACTTAGGTAGGATTAGAGACATTTAAGCAATTCTGATAATCCTGAACACAACCCTATTAAGCTAGGATTGCTAGAAATACAGCGACAGTTTGATCTTGAAGTCTTTAGTGAGTCTTTTTTAACTTGCGTGTAATGCTTGACCTGACTCATCGATAGTCCGACAGGAAAGCGAATGATGATGAGTATAGTGTATCAATCGATATTCCCATAGAATAATCGATCTACACTGTTAATTGCGACCTTCCGTTCATTAGACTTATTTATTCAAACGAGAGTTTAATAGATTTTTTGATTAAGATAGTTAATGCTCTATAATACCTTGCAAACAACTGAACGGCACCTATAGGATTATAATCTTTAATACCTGAATAGAAACCTTGGATCTAGCAACCATCCTTCCATCAAACAACTTCTTGTCAAGCTGAACGATTTCCTTGTTCATGTTGTTTACTATTTTATTGCTTGCTTATTATTATTTACTGTTTTATTATTCACTTGTCTAGATTATTAATGACTGCTTAGATTTAATTGGTTCCCTAGCTCCTCGTGATTCGATCCCTAAGTACTACAGCTGAACCTCTTATTTGAGAGAGTAATTCACTCCTTAGGGTAATTTGTGTGAGATCACGTACTTCGAGTACAAATTCTCGAGGCTATCTGCCTTGATCGTTGGAAGAGGAAAAGAAAATGACCTGGCCATCTTAATCTAAGTTTGGAGAGCTGAGAATTGTAAAGAAAAAGATGAATGGAGCAAGAATTAGAAAGAAAGGACATCGCCTATGTATTTAAAGACCCCGGAAACCTCCAACGACTCTATCGGTAAACCTGAGGAAAAGCGGAAGAGTCTAGGGTTTTGTCTTAAAGGCGGCATACCCGACTGTTGAAATTTCAAAAGCAACACACAAACCAACGGTTCAAGAGAATCACTATTAATGAAAAATAAACCGAGCCGTCCCTCCTCAATTGAATTTGAATGGGCCATCTTTATCCTTGAACAAAGGAAAAAGATTGGGGGGGGGGGGCAAATATTGGACCCAGTTTTGGTAAGGAGTTAAACAGACCCAGACCAATGCATCGCCATCGGTAATCAACTCAACCCATATCGAGTCCGACGAGATCGAACCAATATCCCAGAGATCGGGGAGACAGTTTTGAGGGATCGACCAAGGAAAGGGATTATAAAAGGAACCCTAGAGCAAAGCACAACACAGACGGAAAACCATAGAGTTTACCACTACTCTCATTAACCTCATTTCTTAATCTCATATTTGTTTGTAGCTTCGATCTCGCTTTGTTACTCTCGATCTTGATTAGTGCCTTGTATCAAACCTGATATCAATACAGTCCATTTTTGTCAACCGAATTCCGATTGTATTGTTGTGTTTTAAGAGCATCATTGCCCACATCATTTGTCTTCCCTAGATTTAACTCTTAATCACTACAAAATACTTAGTGTAGATTTTATGATCTACATAAAAGTTGAATTTCAACTGACCACGAACACTCGCACAAAAAAGACTGCAAAAATTAGAAAAGCGATATGGATCCAAACGTCCCTCCAAAAATTGGAACCCTAACTAAAACAAGAAAAAAAATCAAAATCATCAAGGGAGCATACCACATAACTCTAACAAAGACAAAGACTATATCGAAGAAGAAAGAAAAAGAAAGAGAAGAATAAACCAAACCTGCTTTCTTCCAACTTTTGCAATGATAAATAACCAAAGAGACTTACCATAACTTATACCAAGAATCGCGAATGAATGATTATGTCCCTACAAACGATTCAGTTTCCAAAGAGGAAAAATCAAATCCCTTGATTTTCTCTAATAAAAATTTCTTTAATTAAGTCTACCATAAATACATTAACCAAGAATCTCAAACTGAGTCTTAGTACACAGAAGAGCGATGGTCCCACAAAACGTCGTGCAGACTGAGCTCCACACCCGACCTGCACAATGAGTGAACCACGCCAAACTAAGACTCAGGGGAGGGCTATTGTTGGAGCCAGCTTTCTCCTGCTCCAGACCCAGTCCGAGATGATGACCCAAATCAAGAGAAGCCCAATATCAACCAAAATAAAAAGCCCATTAGAGGGACAAGATCCCGTCATAATTTGAGCCCACCCCGGACTCCCCGAGGAGAGAAAAATTCAACCAGAACACGAGGGAGTCAAAGGCATTAAAGATGATCATAAAGGAAAGAGATTCATGTCAGAAAATACTCCTTCGTTATGGTTAGCCGAGAAGATCTATAAAAGAAGAAGAGGAGCCAAGACAAGGAGATCTGAATTCTTAATAGCTATACTATACTCTGATTCATACGATTCTTCTTGTTATCAAGCATCTCTTTTATTCATCTTCAATATCATCAATAAACATTCATTTTTCTATTGTTATCTAGTACTGATTCTTTCTAATTTAGGCTTTCTTAATAATCAAGTTCCTAGATTTGTAAATCATATTTCTGAATGAACTTTAAGATCATATGGTGGCTTCTTCCAATCAAGAATATGTAAAAACCTCGAGATAATATGAACAGAAATATGGAAGACACTTGCAAGATAAGTGAAACTCTTACCAAGAATAAGAGAAACTATGTAACTAAATATCTCACCATTAAGAATTAAATTTTAAATCATAATAAAATTCAGCCAATCAATAATATAAGATGAGTATGCCACCATTCTTTTGTTGAGTTTTTCATATCAGAAATTCATTTTTTCTTTCTATTTTTTCAATTTGTCTTATTTTTATTTTTATTTATTGCTCCCTCCGTTTCAGAATGATCCATGTTTTAGAAAAAAAAAAAAATTGTTTCTAAAAGATCTATGTTTTACATGTTCAATGTAAATAACAATGAAAAATTGCAAACTTCAAAGATATTAATCTTCTTTACTAAATTTTGATTGGTTAAAAATCGTAAGAAATAACTAAACACGGAAAATAATACATTTATTATCAAAACACTACGTGTTTTTTTAATAAGTGTGAAAAACTCTAGAATATACATTATTGAAACAAAGGAAGTATTATTTTTTGGGTCAAATTTGTCTTATTCTTAATGTCTAGATATTGTCTTAAATGATATATATATCAATATGGTTGGTCTAAAAGAACTTATGATAAATTTCTGAGAACATATATAGAAAATATGATCATTTGTTTAGAACATTCTAGCCTCAATTTTGTAACTAGCAGACCCCTTTTTAACTCTCTCCTTTTTTTTAGTTAGGGTAGTGGTTCATAATCAGGTACAAGACAGTGACTTGAGGAAGACGAAAACGGACTCTAGTATTCAAACGAGTTGATCGTGATTCCGTAAGAGAAACTTTTAAAAGTTGACTTAGTAGCAAAGTAATTGACAAAAATAATTAAACTAATCATAAAATCACATGACAATAAATAAGCAAGATAATAAAATAAAAAACCAGATCCATGGCGGGAAAAAAGCAACAACCCACACCTCTGCCACGTGGTCTTGTCCAGTGGATCTGAGTGTCCACAACTGAAGATGAGAGAAAACGCAACACCATTAAATACGAGTAGCTGGAAGAAAAGCTTAAGCTTGGTTTTAACGGCAGAAAAAGTCAATGAACATCTAAATAACCAAATAATACTCAAAAACAGCTAAGTAGTACACTAATAATAGTAATAACAATAATAATAATCAAAACTGCTTTTAAATATGTTCCCAAACCTAAAGGGGAGCGTTTTCTTCTTTGACTAAATTCTCTCTTCTCCTCTGTTTTTGACTCACAAGAATGCGACAAGACGAGGAAAATTCCGAGGAAGAGTTCGCAGAGATTGATCCCACTGGTCGCTATGGACGAGTATGTTCTTTGTTTAATTTTTCATTTTAACCATTGAAAATTTCATTCTAACCTTTCTTGTTTCTCACTTTATAGTATAATGAAGTTCTTGGCAAAGGAGCTTTCAAACAAGTGTATCCTTTTTCTAACAAATCTCTGTTCTCCGTTATTACATGATCATAAAAGGGTGGTTTTCTTGATTAGAGGTATTCTTCAGATACAGAGCGTTTGATCAACTGGAAGGAATCGAAGTGGCTTGGAACCAAGTTAAGCTAGACGATAGACACTGTAGCTCAGAGGATTTAGAACGTCTTTACTCTGAAGTTCACTTACTCAAAACCCTTAAGCACAAAAGCATCATCAAGTTCTACACTTCTTGGATCGATCACCAACACATGACCATCAACCTCATCACCGAAGTCTTCACTTCCGGAAATCTTAGACAGTTAGATTCTCCTCTTTCTCTCTCTCAAATATTTGATATGATGTTAATCCATTAGAATTCTTGACGTTTAGGTACCGGAAGAAGCACAAGTGTGTTGATTTAAGAGCACTAAAGAAATGGTCAAGGCAGATTTTAGAAGGGCTTGTTTATCTTCACAGTCATGATCCTCCTGTGATCCATAGAGATCTTAAATGTGATAACATATTGATCAATGGTAACCAAGGTGAGGTCAAAATTGGAGATCTCGGGCTAGCCGCCATTCTGCATCGAGCTCGCTCAGCTCATAGCGTCATCGGTGAGTCCTCTCCTCTAAGCTTCTTCATTTTTTAAAATTCAAACTTCTTCTTGTGATGTTGGATATGTGTCTGAAATTGCTAAGGAACTCCTGAATTTATGGCGCCTGAACTCTATGAAGAGGACTACAATGTTCTTGTCGATATATACGCGTTTGGAATGTGTTTGCTTGAGCTTGTAACTTTCGAGTACCCGTATGTCGAATGTACAAATGCTGCTCAGATTTATAAGAAAGTTACATCGGTAAGTGATCTTCCTCTCCAACTCTAATCCAACATATCAATGTATGTACGTGACTTATATTTATTTAGTCGGTCCATTCTATCTAGGGAATCAAACCAGCTTCACTTGCAAAAGTGACTGATCCGCAAGTGAAAACATTCATAGAGAAGTGTATCGCAAAGGTCTCAGAACGCTTGTCGGCCAAGGAACTACTTGATGATCCTTTTCTGAAATGCGAAAGTGTCACATCTTACAAAGGTAACCAACCATAATCTTGATATATCTTCTGTGTCACATCTTACAAAAGGTAACCATAATTAATCTTGATATATATTTTAAATAATTTTGATGATTTCTTTAATATTGACTGTTGGATCTAGATCGATCTTGTCGATCTCCTACTACTTCTATCTTTAGACCATAGTTCCGTTTATATATATATATATATATATATATATATATATATATATATATATATATATATATATATATATATATATATATATATATATATTATACACAAAACATACGATTTCTATGCAGAAAACGGATGCAATGGAAGAGAAAGAGAAGATAAACTCTCAGATACTGCGGTAGGTTTATTAACCGTAGAAGGCCAACGTAAAGACCTCAACACAATCTTCCTTAAACTACGGATCACCGATTCCAAAGGTTTCAATCTTTTTTTTCTGTAAATATTTTTTTTCATTAACTATCAACATTTAATCTTTCTTTTGATGATAATAATAATAATAACATGTTAATACAGGTCAAATCCGTAATATACACTTCCCATTTAACATAGAGACGGACACATCTTTCTCAGTAGCCATCGAAATGGTCGAGGAACTAGACCTAACCGATGATCAAGACATCTCAACGATAGCTAAAATGATTGACGCAGAGATACATTCACACATTCCCGATTGGATCCCTTCTAGTCTTAACGGAGATTATTCAACCATGCAAAGATGTTTATCTTCTCCTCATTCGCTGCATTTAGATAGATTTCCCTCAGGAAGAAAAGTCTGGTCCTCTCCTAAAGCTGGAGATTCACGTTCTCCCTTCGCTCAACGTTCTAGTTCTAAGCTTTCGTCGCCATCAAAAGAACGCATCAATGAAAAAGAAGTTGGGATTGTAGTTGAGAAACTTGAGTCTTTGTTGAGGAAACAGAGAGATGATATTGAAGAGATGCATCGAGATCAAGAACGTGCTGTTTGTCAGTTTTTGAAAGAGTTTCCTCCTGAGATCTGTGAAGAGGCTTTGCTCAGATTGCAAGCTATGGATTCCCACAGTTTGCTGTGTTAAATTCTTTTGTTACAACATGAGTACATTTCTCCTCAACATTTATTTGGTTTGCAATATTATGTTATACTACAAACTATTATCGTGTAAGGAAAATTATCATTTTAATTAGGGTTTGACTGGTAAAACTTTTACACAAGCATAATACTCTTTAATCTTTATCATCCAATCAACTATTTTTACAAAAGCATTTAGAGAAGCATTTCGAAGATACAAATGCCATAAATGCTTTCATATCAAACTTTTGGTAAAGCATTTAGCTAATGCATGTTAGAACATGTTTAATGGGGCTTCTTAGGATGAGGTTCTTAACGGAATATAAGAAATCGTCTCTTAACTTTTAATTTTTAACTAAAAAAACTTTTGGCACATGTATAAAATTTATAGAATAAAACAATCAGAAAAGATGATGGAAGATATAGCTAAGATTTTAGGGAGAAATCAAATTCTGTTTTTTTTTATAGAAGATTTCCCGAGAAGTCTTCTTTACTATTACATGAAGTCCTCTTTATTATTAAATGAATTATTCTCACTGTCGTCAGAAGTCAACGTAGGTTAGTTTTTCAACGAAGTATTCTCTTCTCAAATTTTATTCCATGTTAATGAAAAATTCAAATATGGTCAACTACAAAAGTAACATATGCAGACTTCTTGCGACAGTGAGAAAAATTCATTTGAGTGTAAGAAGACTTCTCTAAGAAGACTTCAATATCTGCAGAACTTTGGTCAAATTCAAAACTAATTTTTATCATAGTACTAAAAGTTTTCTCTCGTATTTTCGAGAAATTTTAAAATACCAAAATAAGTCAATACTTACAAAAGAATTTTTCTTAATAAATTTTCTGTAAAGTAACAATGGCCAACTTTGACATTTTAAAAAATCTGGTCTCTCATCTTTTGTATAATTTGTTTTTGTCCCAATATTTGTTTTGTGAAGAAATATGTTATATTTTTCTCCCAAACTTGCAAACTTTTGTTTTGTTATGGTTAAGAGTATCAACTTTAAAAACAGAGAAAAAATAGAGTAACATTTAGGGGTTGGATGAGTAGATGCTGACGTTCAAAGACACTAACTTCCAAAATTTATAAGGATAATATTTTATACAATGTACATGTGGATGCTTGTATTTCGGTAATACATATGGATAATGAAACATTAGAAAACTTATGTTTGTACTGAAATTGATGTAGGTACGCCCATGTCATGTAAGTATTTTTTTTGTTGGTACTGGTATCAAGTATGCATACTTGGTAGATAGATCACTTAAATCATGAATTTTACTCTTCAATGTTTGAAATACCTTTGTATATATGTACACTAAAAATATTAAATTTTATATATGTGTACACCAAAACAATTAAATACACAACAACAATTGTATACATGTACACACATATAACAAAGTAAATGTAAAAAAAACAATATCAATACCTATAATATCAATAAAATTAGCATTAGTCACGAACATGAAAACCAATTCGAGCTCTAGTAGACTCCCAGGATGCGGAAATAATAGCACATATTCCACTTAGTAGGATACAAATGGACGATAGGGAGGGATAGAATTCCACCAAGAATGGAAAATACACGGTGAAGTCAGGATATGAAGCTGAAAGGGTTTACCCGGATAGAGGAACGCCGATTAAGTTTCCCGGACCTACAGTGGATGGCTTAAAAGCATACTGCTGGAAGGTACGGTGTCCTCCCAAGATCAAACACTTCCTATGGCAGTTGCTATCGGGTTGTATCGCGGTTAAGAAAAATTTACACGCAAGAGGGATAAAAAAGTGATATATGTTGTGACCGATGTGGTGCTGAAGAAGAATCGGTTAACCATATTTTTTTCGAATGCCCACCAGCACGTCAAATATGGGCTCTGTCCAAGATTCCTTGAATCCGGGTTACTTTCTCAACAGGGTCTCTCTTCACGAATATGGACCATTTATTCTAGCGGGTTACTCCGAAGATGGATGATCATCATTTTGTATGGATATTGTGGTACATCTGGAAAGGGCGAAATAGCAAGACTTTTAGTAATTTGGATGTTGATCCAAAGGGACACACTCGCATTAGCTGAGGTGGAATCCACTTTGTGGGAGGAGGCCCAAATAAAATTAGATCAGACCGGCGCACAGCCAGAGGTAGTCACGGCTTTACCATCTATACCAGGACGGTGGTGTTTTATTGATAGTTCTTGGAAAGAAAAGGATCGTTTTGATGGACATGGTTGGTATAGTACCCTTGAAGGTTTCCTGGGTTTAATGGGAGTAAGAAATGTTAAATCCAGTCTCTCACCTCTTCATTCTGAGTTGGAGGCGCTTATCTGGGCAATGGAGAGTATGAGGAATTTGCGGTAATATCAAGTTACATTTGCAACAGATTGTTATCAGTTGGTGAAGATGGTTTATGAACTAGATGAATGGCCAGCCTTTGAAAATTATTTGGAAGATATCAAGACGCTTCAAGAATGTTTTCACAGCTCAGCAATAATCTATGTACCGAGGACAATGAATTCACAGGCGGACAGTCTAGCACGCAGTGCGAGAAGACAATCGTCTTTTGTTGTTCACATGGATACTGAGCTACCGGATTGGTTCACATAGTCTATATGAATCTGTTTCTGTTGATGTAAAAAAAAAAAAAAAAAAAAACCAATTCGTTCACGTAAACCACACATCCATGAATCCATGTACCAATGAACCAATGTACATGTTATTATCGTAAAATCTTATACATATGCATCATTGTACTTGTGGATTTATAAATGTTTGTGCTCACCATGATATATACATATAGATATTCAATAATCATCGTAGGTATGGATCACACTAAAATAATATTGGTGAATATTGTCAAATGGAATGAAGATATCATATCTATCATTGAATATATTTTTTCAGCTTAAAATAAGAATTTTGTATTTTCAGCTAAAATAATCATTTTTCCAAAGATAGTTTTATGGTTAAGTTACAAAATATATTTATGGTTTATGGCCAAAAATACAATATATGGCTTTGATTTATTTTTCATAATATGTACATGTGACTCATTACCCAATTCATTAGTGTACATATGAAATATTGTACACGTGAATAAAGAAATTATGTGTACACAGTGTCATATACATATGAAATTTATACAAATATTATTAGAAACAACGTACACAAGAAATGATTTTAAGATATATATCATCTCATTTACCTCATTTTAATCATTTTAAGATGCATTTAAACATTTATGGCAGAAACAAAACAAAACTAAACAAAACGGCAAGGACCAGATGTTGTAAAATTGAAAAACTTTTTTAGTCTGGGGGACAAGAGCTCTGGGTGCAAATAATCTAAAGTTCACCATTGTTGCTCCAAAGAGCTTTCTCTTCCATCTGCGACCAAATCATGTGGTGCACTCTTCGATATGCAACTACGATGAGAAGGAGATGACTCGACTTTAACAAAGATTGCTGTAGAGATCTGGCGGAATTGAGCTGCATTTTGAGGTTGCTGACTACTCCTCCACGTCAGTCATTGCTAACAGGGACCTGTTTGCGATTCAAATTTGTTCCCGTCACTATCATGTTTTAATTAAATGGTTACACCATTGCCTCCACGGTTACAAAAAATAGGGAAGAAGATAATATACTGAGTGGGTCCACTTAGTTATATCTGAATTATACTTTTAGAAAAGAAGAGAATAAGTTAAAAGAAGAATAGAAAGTTATAAAAAAAAATGTCAAGAAGTGATAATTGCCCTAGAGTGTAATAAAAAACTTAAAACTGTCCTAGAGTTAAAATAACTCTAGTGATAGTTATGAGGTTACAAATATTCATGTTTATGAATGTTTCTAGGTTATCTGAGAAGACTTCTAGAGAAATTTTCGTTAGTTTTTCAAGGGTATTAAGTAACTTCAAGATATGTATTTATCAATTCATGTGGTTTAGTGTGTCTTCTTAGATCATAAAATGTAACTACTTTCATTAGATTAAAAATTTAAACTTTCATTTAAAGTTTAAGCTTCTTGCAATTTTTAATTTCCCACTTCAATTTAATTTTTCGCTTACTACGCATGAAGTATTCTGGGATAAATCTTCTAGTGAGACTTATGTAATGTTTGATATTTGTGAATTTCACTAAGTTTTATTGAGAAGTCTTCTCCCATAGTTTTAGTAATTTGACTAAGTTTTTGTGATGTTGTGTTTTGCTATGAGTGGATAGAATGGCTAAAAAAATTTTTGGTATGTTGTATGAATAACTTCAATAATATCAAGTAATTTTGGCGAAATAATATTGTAGACACGAACATATTTACCAATTTTTTCCATTAATATCTCTTTAAGTTTACAAAATAATCTACAAGTAAAAAACTACACAAAAAATCATAAAACAAACCATAAACAAAACTATTACACATGGAGGTAAAGATCATTTCGTGACATAGATAAGCTTGGATTCCACTTGAAATCATCCCTTTAACTTTGGGCAGAAGACTTCAGAAAACATACTAGAATTCTTCTTAGCATAAAATGTATTAGAAGGTTTCCTAAGAAGTTTTCCAAAGTCTAACTCAGATCTGAAAAATGTGTATATCCAAAAACATTCAAATGTTTTAAAATAGCTAAAAAGTTCAAAAATATTTTGAGGTTGCACCTGTATAAAAATTATTGAATAAAACAATGAAAAGATAATATAGTATATTACTAAGATTTTAGTAATAATGATAGATGATTGGTTGAAATTTAAGCTATATATGACATACATTCATGAAAACTAGTAAGAAAAAACCAGGACAATACAAAATATAGCAAATCTTGATGATGATATAGTAACTCTTCTCTGAAAAAAATAGTTTGTGTGTTTATTGTAGAAAACCTTAAATGTGAACGTATACATATATTGAAAAATTATTTGTAGGCTGATCCAAAAACAAATGTTTTAAATTGATTTATTTTCTTTTTTACCCTAAAATAGTTCTGTTAACTTTTATTTCAAACATTCATTTAGTCTTTGGTACAATATATCACCACCAAAAAATACCAATTAACGACAACCATAAAGATATGTAACGTTGAGTGATTAAATATGTGGTTAAAATCAACTAACAAAAGATTAGCTACCAATTTTAGCATTTACT